AATACATTGGTGTAGCGAGAGTACCTCGAGCGCTATGGCATGACGTACGCTTCGTGCATGCGCTTGGCGACGCGCATCAACGCCAAAGCCACGATCGTGACGCGAGGGTCGTTCGAGTCGCTGTCGCAGAGCCCGAGGAGCGACTGAACTAGTAGGCTTTCAACACCAAGGCGCCTACGGATGGGCATCTCGCGTGACGAGTCACCGTCCTCGAGCGCGTAGCCTGTACAGCCAACGGTTTGGATCAGCTCGTTCCACGCGTCACGGAAGAGCTGTCCGACCGCGTTGAGGTTGAGGTACTGGAACGCGTCGTAGTCGTTGTGGACGGCGTTCATCACGTCGAAAATGCACGGAAGCTGCGCCGTGTCGACCGGCGCTGCCGACCGCGTCACGTATCGATACGCTGTGCTGACGGGACCGGGCTCGGTCACCAAGACCTTGTGAGCGTGGTTGCGCACCTTCGGACTCTTCATTTTCTGCGCTGCGCTACGGTGGTCCATCCGGTCGCGCATCGTGGTCGCTGCAACTACTGGCCGCCATGGTTGCTGCCCTGTAATCAAGATTTCCTGGACGCTGCGACCGCAACCCCGACGACGATCGCGTCGTGAAGATGGTCAAAGAGTTGACGCAGGTCACGAGCCGCGAGCACGAAATGTACCTTGAGCCGACGGCCATGACCGAGTGCGATCATGCCAACCACAAGCTGAAAAAGACTATTTGATTATAGTCATGCTGTTAGAACCTTTGCAACTTCTGTCATCTCGTTGGTCTATATCCAGGAAATGACTGCTGGAGCGATCTACGAGCGGCTTCCGGTCGCGCTCGTGTGGGCAGTGCGCATCTGCTGCGCGAGTTGCTCCATCGACGCGGCGGCCACCAAAATGCGCGGATGATCGGGGTTGACGTCGCAGAGGCCGAGGAGCGTCTGGAAAAAGAGGTTTTCATTGTGCACGCGGACGTTGGCGTCCGTCTCGCGCCATGGACCATCGACGATGCCACGCTCTGGCGCAAAGGCCAGGCCTTTGAAGTCGAATGCTTGAATCATAGCCTTCCACGCCGCGCGAAAGAGCTGTCCGACCTTGTTGAGGTCAAGGTACTGAAACGCGTTATAGTCGCTGTGGAGGACGTTCATAATGTTAATGGCCAATGGAAGCCGCGCCGATCCGTCCTTGTCTGTCTTGTCCGTCAGACGCGTCACATGTCGATACGCTCTGCTCACGGGCGCCGGGTCGGTCGTCTGGAGCTCTCGACCAAAGTCGCTGATTTTGGGGTGCTTCTTTTGGGCGTCGCTGCGGTGGTCCCTCTGGTCGCGAAGCGTCGTCTTTGCGAGGAAGGCTTCCTTGTCTCGGTGGAGGTTGGCCGCCAAGGCCGCCGCCGTCGACGCGTTGTAGCCCCACGCCAGCATATGGGCTTTGACAAAGCCGCCACGGACGGTCGGACGGCCTCCGACCCACACCGACTTGCCGCGCTCAAACATATTGACCAAGTTGTCGAGGTCTCTGTTCGGTGGGATCTTGTCGAGGACGCGGAGTGCGTTGTAGAGGTGAAGGACCATGCGCGTCTGCCCAATGTCATCCATGGTCGCGAGGCCCATGGAGAAGCGCACCTTCATCGCAATCGTGAGGAGGATTTGGCCGGCCATGTATGGGTTGAGCCACGCCCGGTCGACTTCCATCTGATTAAAGTCTTTGGTCGGCGACGTCATGATGCGGAGGTTGCCAAGCCACGCAAGCGCCACGTCGACATTCTTCTGGGTCGTCGCTGGGACAAACATCCCAAGGACGTTGTCGCGATCGGCTTGCATCTGAGTCGTCGCTTGGGCGATCGTGACGCGCGCGTTGTCGACGATCTTGGCACACGTAATGACGTCCGTGGCCGGTCCTTGAGCAAGAAACAGACTCCACAAGAGTGACTGGCACGCAAACACAAGGGCGACCGAGAGCTCTCTTTTTTTCACAAACGTCTCGAGCAGCACAAGCAAGGGAGTCATCTCGGCTTCGTGCTCGATTTTGTTGGGGCCGCGGCCTTGTAGGAACGTGACTAGCGGCGGTAAAATATGCGCAAAGAACGTCTGGTACAAGTCGGCCAAGGACGCGGCCAGTGCGTGCGGCTCGGCCCAGTCGCGGCCAAAAAAGCCGTCTTCACAGACCATGCGAAGACCGGGCTTGATGACCTCGTGAAAGCCGTACAACAACCGGTGGAGGTAGACAAGGCTGCTGTTGAGACCCAACGTCGACGACCATTCGAGCTGTGCAAGAGACGCCTCGGCCATGTACTGGGCGGAGACACGGTCGACAAAGCGTGACGCGACCATCGACGTTGTCTGAAGACGCTGAGCGATCGCGCGCTCTGCGGCCGGACGAAGCCGCGGCACCATGGCGCGCTGGGCAACGACAACCAGCTCGACCGCGGTGCCAAGAGGAAGGCCATTATGGTCCGAGACGAGGTCCATGAGGATGCCATCGCAAACGAGAAGCGCGATAATATGGTCGAGGTCCTTGAGGTACGGGTGGGCAAAGCTCAAGTCGTTGCTGAGGACTTGGACGGAGTGGACGCAGGCGTTGGTGATGGCCGTCGCTGCGAGCAACGACGTCTGACCATCCTTGTACGTGGCCCAGCCCAGCATGACCTCGTGCATCAGGTCGTCGAGGTCGAGGAGGAAGCACATGACCTGGAAATTCTCGTCTTCGATACGCGCCAGGAGCGCTGCGCGGGCTGCGTCCGAAGCATCGACCGGCGCGACGAAGGTCGTCATGTCGAACGGCGGCATCGGTGTCTCTGCCCACACGTCGGCGTCGTCATCCACGTCGTCGGTGGCGAGGGCCTCAAAGGCGTTGGCCACGTTGATATTGCTGCTAGCTGCATCGCCACTCGCTTCATGAACAGGACCTGGCGTCTTGATGGGCACCAGCGGCGTCCACTGGACCTCGATCGCACGAAGTGTGTTGAGGACATGCGCATGGCCGGCGTCGGGAGCCATTTTGAGAGAGTACTGGTGGCGCAGGCGGATGGCCGTCCCAAGCTTGCGCAAGATGGCAGCGGGCACGGGCAAGGCAGCCTCGACGACCTCGAGCGCAGCGGCGTAGATTTGCGAGACCGACCACTCGGCGACGTTGGCCGACCGCGCGCCGTGCTTCTTGACCTTGCGCTTGGCGTTCTTGGTCTTGGGCTTGGTCGCTCGGTGGAGCCACTCGAAGACGGCGTTGGTCGTCGCCTTGTAGCGATGGTAGCGCCCACACGCGCCCGCGCTAGTCATGTGGTCGCCGTTCACTTTGCTTTCTGGATCCATATTTTTAATTCTGGGACAAAGGGGTTTGTCCCAATTTACGCAATAAGAATACGTGGCAGCCTCTCTAGCCAGCAACCCCTTGCCTGCATTGCTATGCTGTCCTACAGCCCCCAAACGCTCCCATTTTTGTCGTGCTGAACCAACGGTAAGATCTACGGCGCGCGTGGCCCTTGTCATCCATGCAGTTTCGTGTTACCGGGATACCATCTAGCAATAGCCTCATAGTCTGAGCTTGGTCGCAACAATAAGGTGCAAGCAAAGACTCTCAATTCCCTCTGTACAATCTCGATAGACGTTGTAAGGGCTACGGAGCGACGGCCGGCGACGTGAGGTATGCTTCGGGCAAGCGCTCCGTGAGGTGCATCAATGCCTCCGCGATTTTCAAGACGCGATCATCGTCCGGGTCACGGTCACAGAGGGCGAGGAGTGTCTGGAAGCAGAGGTTTTCACTCTGATGGCGAATGTTGGCGTCCGACTCATGCCACGGCCCGTCGACAATCCCGCGCGCCGGCACCAGCGCAAGTCGATTCAAGCCCAAGGTGTGAATCACGTCCTTCCACGCACCGCGAAAGAGCTGCCCGACCTTGTTGAGGTCGAGGTACAAAAACGCGTTAAAGTCGCTCTCAACGACGTCCATGATGTCGAGGGCACGCGGGAGACGTGTTGCGTCGACGTCATCGGGCAGCATCGTCCGCGTCACGTAGCGATACGCCTTGCTCACAGGCGCCGGGTCGGTCGGCAGCAGCATCCGAGCAATGTCGCTGACTTTGAATGTCTTCTTCTGGGCAGCGCTACGGCGGTCCATCTTATCGCTGTGCGCAGCCTTGGCCAGGACTGTCTCCTTGTCGCTGAGCAAGTTGGCCGCCATGGTCGTCGCCGTCGACGCGTTGTAGCCCCACGCCAGCAGATGGGCTTTGACAAAGCCGCCACGGGCCGTCGGACGACCACCAACCCAAACCGACTTGCCGCGCTCAAACATCGCCACCAAGTTGTCGAGGTCTCTGTTCGGCGGGATTTTGTCGAGAACGCGGAGCGCGTTGTAGAGGTGAAGGACCATGCGCGTCTGGCCAATGTCATCCATGGTGATCAAGCCCATGACAAAGGTAATTTCGATCGTGACTGTGAGGAGGAGCTGGCCGGCCATGTACGGGTTGAACCACGCGCGGTCGACTTCGAGTTGCGAGAACGAGTTGTTGGGCGACGTAATACGGCGCAGCGTGTCGAACCAAAATAGCACATTGAGCGTGTTCTTCTCTGTTGTTGGCGGGACGAGGATGCCGTCCACGTTGTCGCGAAGTGCTTGCATGTCACGCGCCAAGCGGTCGATCGTGACGCGCGTGTCGTCGACGACCTTGGCGCAGTGCATCGCGTCATTTGGCGTGCCTTGCGTGCACAAGAGGCTCCACAAAAGCGATTGGCAGGCAAAGATAAGGGCCAACGAGATGTCCTTGGACTTGACGTACGCCCGGACAAGCTCCAGAAGAGGGCTTGTCGATGTTTCGTTTGCAGTCTTCAAGGTGTTTCGCTCGCGCACATGAATTACGAGTAGAGGCAAAATATGACCAAAAAACGTCTGGTGCAAGTCCTCGAGCGACGACGCGAGCTCGTGCGGCTCGGCCCAGCTACGGCCAAAGAACCCGTCCCGTAGGATCATGCACTTCTCGGGTTTGATGGCGTCGTGCGTGCACACCAGTCTGTCCTGGAGCAACATGAGGCTGCGGTCCAATGTCGACGGCCCGTTGAAGATGGCAGATGCGAGCTCAAAATTAAACTGAGCACAGACGCTGGCATGGTAGTACGCTGCCGCCGCCGTCGTCGTTTTGAGCGTCTTGGCGATCGTGCGCTCGGCACCGGGGCGGAGACGCTCGATCATCGACCGCTTGGCCAGCACCACAAGCTCGACGGCAGTGCCAAGTCGGAGGCCATCGTGGTCCGAGACGAGGTCCACGAGGAGGTCGCTGCACACGAAAACCGCCAAAATATGGTCGAGGTCCTTGAGATGCGGGTGGGCAAAGCTCAAATCGTTGCCGAGCACTTGGACGGAGTGAACGCAGGCATTGGTGACGGCCGTCGCTGCGAGCAACGACGTCTGACCATCCTTGAACATTTTCCAGGCAAGTTTGACCTCGCGCATCAGGTCGTCAAAGTCAAGGAGGAAGCATCTGCACTGGAACTTCTCGTCTTCGATACGCGCCAGGAGCGCTGCGCGGGCTGCGTCGGCAGCACCGACCGGCGTGACGAAGGTCGTCATGTCGAACGGCGTCATCGGCGTCTCTGCCCACACGTCGGCGTCGTCATCCACGTCGTCGGTGGCGAGGGCCTCAAAGGCGTTGGTCACGTTGACATGGCTGTTAGCTGCATCGCCACTCGCTTCACTAACAGGACCTGGCGTCTTGATGGGCACCAGCGGCGTCCACTGGACCTCGATCGCACAAAGTGTGTTCAGGACATGCGTATGGCCGGCATCGGGAGCCATTTTGAGAGAGTACTGGTGGCGAAGACGGATGGCTGTCCCAAGCTTGCGCAAGATGGCAGCGGG